TGGAGTGGGGGCAGGCAGTGGACACATGGCCTGCCACACAGTGGGGTGGGGCTGGACACTCATCCTTTGGGGTGTGGCTGTTGCAGGAGAGCAGCTCCTGGGGGCTGGTGAGGTCTTTGCCATTGGGCCCCTGCAGCTCTATGCAGTCACCGAGCAGCTGCAGCAGGGGAAGCCCACGTGCGCCAGCGGGGACGCCAAGACGGACCTCGGGCACATCCTGGACTTCACCTGTCGTCTTAAATACCTTAAGGTAAAGCTGCAGCAGCCCAGTCATGGGAGCCTTTCAGTTAGTGGGTGTGTGCCCGCCAGGGGTCTGGTGGCTCAGTGGCTGGAGTTAGTGTGGAGGTGTGGGTGGGGCCTCCACGGAAAGGCCAGCCTGTGTCCTTGGCACCTTGTTCTGGCTGTGAGCACCAGGGGGCAGTCTCCAGCCAGTGTCTGCTCCTCTGCCCCAGCCCTAGCCTGCTTTGTCAGAGGTAGAGGGGTCACTTCCAGGCTGGGTGGCGACTGCAGCAGAGTCCCTGGTTCAGTCCCCGTCTTCCGCCTAGGTCTCTGGCACTGAAGGGCCTTTTGGGACCAGCAACATTCAGGAGCAGCTCCTGCCATTCGATCTGTCAATATTCAAGTCTCTTCATCAGGTGGAGGTAAGGCCCAGGGCACTGGCCACGGCAGCATTCCAGGCTTGTCTCAGACCTCAGGGGCCACTTCCCTAGTGGGATCTTACGGTGTGTGCCCTACCACCCCCGTAGGCGGCACCAGGACGGGGAAGTGAGAGGACAGCCCGGTCCCGCTGCTACCTGGCAGACTGAGGCCCTGCCGTTTGGGCAGGCGTCCCAGGAATGGGCTTTGGCCTGTACTTCTCCCCGCCTCTCTGCAGGCAGCTGAGGTTGAGGGGGCCAGTGGGCAGAAGAGCCCACCATACCCACCGCATTGCGGGGGCCACTGCTCAGACCTGGGACTCACACTCTGTCCGCCTGCCAAGTCCCAACTAACCCTTGCAGAGAGAACAGAGTTTGTGGTTTCCTGTGTGGAGTTGAGAGACCAGAGCCTTCTCTACTAGATGCTGGCATGAGCGGTAGCCAGCACGGAGCCCTGGGAAGAGACGTGGGTTGGAGTTGCCCCTGGCCTGTAGGCTTTGGGCTCGGCTGTCATGCTGCTTCTGTGTGGGTGATGAGCACCCGCTGGCCAGGGCTTCTGACGGAGCAGCATGCATTCCTGAGACCCAGCTGTCCCTGCCTCCAGATAAGTCACTGCGATGCGAAGCACATCCGAGGGCTGGTCGCCTCGAAGCCCACCCTGGCCACGATGAGCGTCCGCTTCTCGGCCACCTCGATGAAGGTAAGCGTCACCCCGGCTTGGTGCCCACCACCGAGGAGGAGTGTGCACGGCTAGTCTGTCAGAGGCCCCACCTTCCCCAGATACTCACGTGGGATGTCCCAGCACATGACCGCCCGGGACGCTTTCGTCCCCATCTCCAGAAGCCAGTGTGGTTAACAAGTCGCTCTGAGGAACGAGGCTTTCTCCCCTAACGTAAAAAAGGTGCTATTGGTTTTCTTGCCTTTTTTTAGTTTTTGCTATAGGGCCTGTGTGCTTGCCAGAGAGAGAGAGACGGAGACAGGGAAGGTGAGAAATTACGCCCCAGGGGAGATGGCCACGCTGCAGTATCTTCCTTTCCAGTCTCCATCTGGGACTCAAATGGTGCAGTCAGCCACGTGGGCTCCAGCGCCTTACCCCCCAGGCTGTTGGCCCAGTCACTGGTTTTTAATGATGAGACTGTAGAGCTGCTGCAGGTGGAAGGACGTCTGTCAGCCCGGCTGGTACAGCTGTTCTCTGGTCTTGGCAAGCCTTTGCTGAGCACCCTTCTGTATTTTGTTCTCCGTGGGCCAGGAGGGAAGGTGTGGAAATGCTGGGGCCCGCCGTTTGTACGTGAGCCACAGGAACTGTTTGGTTGGGAATGTAAGAGGTTTCTTCCACCTTTTTATGGGTCACATTTTGGTATTGTTACAATCCTTCCCCTAGTACAGAAAGAAAAACAGGGAATGGCTAGTTTTATGACTTACATTTCTGATCAAGGTTTGGGTTTTGGGAGCCAGCAGGCGGCATGGTGGTTAAGGTGCTGGATTCCTGCGGTTCAAGTCCTGGACCTGACAGGTTGCTTTCTCACTTTCCTTCTCTCTCTCTCTTTACTGAGTGCCTGTGCCTTGTAGCAAATTAAAACAAACAGTAATGATCAATAAAATTAGTAATTCTTTTGGGAAAACAAAGGATTTGGATTTTTTGAATTCTTTCTCATGAGGCTCCTGGCTGATCCGAGGTGGCTTATGGAAGGAGCTAGGGCGTCGGGCTGCCTCGTTGCTCTCCTGGGCACTCCTCGCTGCCGGGCGGAAGAAGCCCAGGGTGGTCATTGCAGAGGGGGGCGAGAGGCCGTCTCTGGTGCTCCTTGCTGCTGCGCGTCCTGGAAGGGTTTATCTTAGCCCCGGGAAGTCACAGTTAAAAGTGGGGACCACATCACCAGCTCGGAAAGCACAGTTGCCTGGAAACGCTGCAGGCCGACCTTCGGCCTCTGGGATTTCAGCCAGAAAACTGCATCACCATGTAGGAAAAGGTCCGTGTGGGCTCGAAAAGCTTTGGTCCCTGGAGCAGAGCCAGAACATCTTCCAGTGGCCGTTGCTGAGCTTTTCAGTTATTTCACAATCGTTGAAGAATAGGAACTGGAGCCTTGTTTTAATCCAAGCTCACTTCCACATGCTAAATATGCCCAGCTCTTCCTTACAGTTTGCAACGACTGTGTTTCCAGTGAGTGTTGCGTGAGGGCCCGAGTGTGGTGCTCAACAGATGTTCTTGTGCAGGAAGTCCTTGTTCCTGAAGCCTCTGAATTCGACGAGTGGGAACCAGAAGGCACGGCCCTGGAAGGCCCTGTGACTGCCGTCATCCCCACGTGGCAAGCGTTGACCGCTCTCGACCTCAGCCACAATGGCATCTCCGTGATCGACGAGTCTGTGGTACGTGGGCAGCAGCCGGCAGCAGGGCTTCTCTGATCTCACCTGAACCTTGGGGTTGGGCGTTGGAGTTGGTCTTTTCTGGAAGGACCACAGAAGACCTGTGCCCAATACTCTGTACATTGCCTGCTATGTTTAAGTTCATTTCAAAATGGGTTATTCAAAATTGCTATACCAAGAACCAGACGAAGCTAATTAACTGCACATATGTTTGATGTAAGGTGAACCACAGTAAGGAATGACACTTACTCCCAATGAGCAGAGCAGAAAACCCCCTCCAGAGGTTATAGATGTGTGAGCGTGACATCCGAATGGCAGTGGGCAGTAGGAGTGGGATTGCTGTATTCGTGTCCCCTGCCTGATGTGGGTAGGCCGAAGGTCAGGCCCCTTCTCTGTCATTTTCATGAGCCAGGAGTTCTACACCAACGGTGACCAGTGCTTGGCACTGGAGTCAGGCCCTGGGTGTGTGTTTGGCTGTGCTGCCGGGCGGGCAAATGGGTGCACCTCAGTGACCAGCCAAGAGTCTGTGCGTAGGAAGAAGAGTCCTAGGGTGCCCATCCGCCACAGGCAGGGACTGCTTAGGGTCCAGCCTCCCAGAATAACATTGGTTGTTCTTTTCTCTCCTAAGAAATTGATCCCAAAGATTGAGTTCCTGGATCTGAGTCACAATGGCGTGCTGGTCGTGGACAACCTGCAGGTAATATCTCTGGAAGGCCTCGTTCTCCCGAGAGGTCGGGAGGACCCAGCCTTGGGAATGTGGGCGTGCCTCGGGTTGGTCAGGCAGCGGCTGCTGCCTTCCCTTCAGGGGCCCGGCAGTGCATCGTGGGGCCGTGGCTCTGGTGCCTGAGAATTAGAGAAGACGAGTTAAATACAAACCGAGCATGACAGAGTGATGCTCCCCTGGAGATGGGCAGCCCTGTTCTCAGTGCCCGCCCCAACCTGTGTGTGGAGGGTGCCCCTGGGCTGTGGCACGTGCAGGGAAGAAGAGGGGCTTCACTTCCTAGTAACGGTCAGAGTGAATGGAGCCCATCTGCAGAGCGGTCAGTTTAGGTGGGAAGGCCCCTCCCGCTGTCAGCCTCAGCCCCATTTCTGGGAGACTCGACCTGAACCACTGCACCCGCTCTCTGCTCCATAGCACCTGTACAACCTGGTGCACCTGGACCTGTCCTACAACAAGCTCTCCTCCCTGGAGGGTGTCCATACCAAGCTGGGGAACATTAAGACCCTGAACCTGGCGGGCAACCTCCTGCAGAGTCTGAGCGGCCTGCAGAAACTCTACTCCCTGGTCAACCTGGATCTCAGCAACAACAGAATTGAACAGGTGAGCTGCACCCAGAAGGTTGCCGTGCCGTGGTGTGTATCACTTTAAAGCAGGTGTTAAGCTCCCTTTCATTTTAAAGAGGCCATCCACTGTGTCGTGTGGCGGAAGTGTCGGGAGGGGACTGGAGGGAGTAGGACTCATGTCTTGCAGATGGAGGAGGTCAGGAGCATAGGCAGCCTCCCGTGTCTGGAGCACGTGGCTCTGCTGAACAACCCTCTGAGCATCATCCCGGACTACCGGACCAAGGTGCTCGCTCAGTTCGGAGAGAGGGCCTCTGAGGTAAGCCCCAGCTGGGCAGAGCAGCCCGGGGGACAGCCCAGTGGGCAGAGCCAGGGTGGACTGTCCATTCTACTATCCCTGCCTGCTTCAGAAGGGCCTGGCCCTTGAGGGTCTTTTGGTCTGAGAGGTCCACCACCCCTGCTGGAAAAGGTTCCTTGACCTCTCCCTTACCCGCGGGCTGCTGGCCGTCAGCTGGTGGTCCCAGCAGTCTTCCTTTGGTTGCCTCTGTCAGAGCTCGGGTCAGGAATCCCATGAGTAGACAGGCACAGACTCAGGGTGTGGAAGAACTGTCTAACTTAAAAAATGACATTATTCTTTCTAGGCAAGGGCCAGAAATAAGACACTTAAAATAATCCTGTTTCCTGGACAACTTCTGGCCATTGTGTCTGACTTCAGCCCGAGGGATCTGCCTACCTTTGCAGGGTAGCTCAGTGCACTGCCCGCTGCCCGGCTGTGCACCTGCTGCCACGCCAACCACCCAGGTCCCTGGCCAGGTTCTCCTGCCACCTCGGGCTCAAGGAGGCCCTGTCCCACTCTCTGACTGACCCTGGCAGCCTCTCTTCTGCCCAGGTCTTAGGCAGAGCTTGCTGGGAGTCTGCGGTTATAGCCCACCCTGCTCTCCGTTGAGCCCAGCTGCCCCTCCCTCCTTGCTGTCCCCAAGTCGGTCTTTACAAGATGCCATTTCATCCCTCCCGTGCTCTAGACCTCGGGAAGCTCCCGGGTCACGTGGTGTCAGCTCCTGTCTAAACCCTTGGGACCTCGCCATGTTCAGCCCCCACCCAGCTGCCCTCTAGCACACAGCTCCCTCCTACCTCTGCGGATCGGGACCCCACCCTCTCCTGCAGCCCTGTGCCTTCGCCCTCCCGGGTCCCTGTGGAAGGCTCACCCCTTTTTGACTGCGTTCTGCCTGTACCTAGGGGCTTAGTCACCAGGCCCATCCACTGTGTCGTGTGGCGGAAGTGTCGGGAGGGGACTGGAGGGAGTAGGACTCATGTCTTGCAGATGGAGGAGGTCAGGAGCATAGGCAGCCTCCCGTGTCTGGAGCACGTGGCTCTGCTGAACAACCCTCTGAGCATCATCCCGGACTACCGGACCAAGGTGCTCGCTCAGTTCGGAGAGAGGGCCTCTGAGGTAAGCCCCAGCTGGGCAGAGCAGCCCGGGGGACAGCCCAGTGGGCAGAGCCAGGGTGGACTGTCCATTCTCCTATCCCTGCCTGCTTCAGAAGGGCCTGGCCCTTGAGGGTCTTTTGGTCTGAGAGGTCCACCACCCCTGCTGGAAAAGGTTCCTTGACCTCTCCCTTACCCGCGGGCTGCTGGCCGTCAGCTGGTGGTCCCAGCAGTCTTCCTTTGGTTGCCTCTGTCAGAGCTCGGGTCAGGAACCCCATGAGCAGGTAGGCACAGACTCAGGGTGTGGAAGAACTGTCTAACTTAAAAAATGACATTATTCTTTCTAGGCAAGGGCCAGAAATAAGACACTTAAAATAATCCTGTTTCCTGGACAACTTCTGGCCATTGTGTCTGACTTCAGCCCGAGGGATCTGCCTACCTTTGCAGGGTAGCTCAGTGCACTGCCCGCTGCCCGGCTGTGCACCTGCTGCCACGCCAACCACCCAGGTCCCTGGCCAGGTTCTCCTGCCACCTCGGGCTCAAGGAGGCCCTGTCCCACTCTCTGACTGACCCTGGCAGCCTCTCTTCTGCCCAGGTCTTAGGCAGAGCTTGCTGGGAGTCTGCGGTTATAGCCCACCCTGCTCTCCGTTGAGCCCAGCTGCCCCTCCCTCCTTGCTGTCCCCAAGTCGGTCTTTACAAGATGCCATTTCATCCCTCCCGTGCTCTAGACCTCGGGAAGCTCCCGGGTCACGTGGTGTCAGCTCCTGTCTAAACCCTTGGGACCTCGCCATGTTCAGCCCCCACCCAGCTGCCCTCTAGCACACAGCTCCCTCCTGCCTCTGCGGATCGGGACCCCACCCTCTCCTGCAGCCCTGTGCCTTCGCCCTCCCGGGTCCCTGTGGAAGGCTCACCCCTTTTTGACTGCGTTCTGCCTGTACCTAGGGGCTTAGTCACCACCTTCCTCAAGTCACAGCCACCTGAGAGGCCCCTCTCCTTGGACAGGGTCTCCCTGAGGCAGACTAGGCAGTGTCTCTCTGGGCCCCTCCTGACACCCTCCTAGGTCACTTCAGTGGCTGAAGAGCCCGCCCCCAGTGGCCTGAGTCTGCTGCAGCTCTAGTGTCCTCGTGGGGCCCGGGTCAGCCTGTAGCAGCGCTCGTGCCCACTCCTCAGCAGGCCTGCCACCCTCCTCCCACCCATGCCGATTGCCACTGTCTGGACCCTGTAGGTCTGCCTGGATAACACGGCGACCACAGAGAAGGAGCTGGACACCGTGGAGGTCCTGAAAGCCATTCAGAAAGCCAAGGAGGTCAAGTCCAAACTGAGCCACCCAGAGAAAAAGGTGGGTTTTGTGTGGGCGGAGCCAGCCAGGCAGAGCTGGTTCCTGCACGGTTGCTCAGGGCTGCTGTGGCCCCACCGCACACTCCCCGGCTGCATGACCTCGGGCAGGTCGCACCCTCCACTCTCACCTGTGAGCTGTGAGGATCGGGCATGTGTCTTCAGCACCTATTGTGGGAACATTCGCACTTCTCCCCTCCCGGCCCTGGCCTTGTAGAGCTCTGTTCTGGGGCGGCTCTTCTCTCCTGGCCGACTCAAGCACTCCTCCCCAGGTTGGCGAGGATTCCCGGCTCTCTGCTGCCCCCTGCGTCAGACCCAGCGGCTCCCCTCCCAGCGTGGCTCCTGCCTCCGCCTCCCTGCCCCAGCCCATCCTCTCCAACCAAGGTAATTGTGTGTGGATCTTGCTCCTAGCAGAGCCACACAGCCCTGCCTGGGCCCCTGGCTGGACCGGGGTCCAGGAGAGAAGCTAGCACCTGCTTCCTCAGGGTCAGGTGCAGGGGGGCGGTGCCGTCTGCAGGCTGACTCCTCTCGTGGCATGTGGTGGGGGGGTGCCTGGCCTGATTCAGCTCTGTCGTTTGTTTAGAGAGGGCCCCAGGTACCATGGGGTTTCTGACGGAGCCCTGAGGCTGCCATCTGAGCAGGCTTGGGGCTCTCAGCTCATCACGACCTTCCCCTGTAGGCAGCATGGGCAGGTGGCTCTTTGTTGCCAAGAAGCCAGGCCTTGTTACTTTACTCAGTCTGGAGCCCCGACTCCTGCGTGGGGAGCTTTCTTTTATCCCTGCCTCATCTCTGTGGCTCTCGTGGTATGACCCACTGTGGGTCAGTGTGGGCTGTCTGTGTCCCTGTGGACCTATGGAAGTCCCGTCTCTTTCATTGCCCATTGTGTTAGCATTTTCAAAGGGCTTTCACCTCTGAACCCAGGCATCCTCGGAGATGAGTGAGTGAAGCAGGTCCCATGAGCATGTCTGCTGGCCCGGCCCCACGGAAGAGGGGAGGGTGCGCCGTCCCCAGTGGAGCGAGGTTCGGGACACGCAGAAAAGAACGCCGCCCGCCCGAGCTCCTGGAGGCGCAGAACTTGGTGCGAGGTCTTGGGAAAGACAGTCTGATCCTGTATTCCAAGAGCCAGGAAAACGTTCCCACCCCTTGACCTGGTAACCCCACCGGTGGGATTTTCTCCTAGAGGAATAAGATGCCGGGAAGGGGGAGGTGAAGTGCTCGCTGCTGGCTGGCAAGCCATGGCTGTGCCATGTGAGTCGGAGGATGAGGGAGAGGCCGCTGAGGTACAGGACGCTCCGCAGCCATCAGGGACAGGAAGACTGGGCAGGACGAAGCGAGCATGCCCACCGGAAGCAGGTGTCCGATGCAGAGCAGCGCGCCCAGGTGTCCACTGCGTGGCGGAAGAGTTCACGGGATCGCCACGGGTGGCTTAGTTGCCAGGTGGCTGCCTATTCACTTTTGTCACACTCTTGACTGAGAATTTTTGTTACTGCTTTTTTACATAAATTGGGAGGAGGGTTCGTATCACGGGGGAAGCTCCTCTGGCCCTGGCCCCTGCAGCAGGGCCAGCCCCTATCCCAGGCCGCACAGCATTGGCCATCTGCAGAGGAACCACGTGACATAGGCTTCTAGGGGATGGGAGATGTGTCTGGTTCTCCAGGCCGGGGACACAGCCGGGCCCCGGTCAGCACTTGAATCCGCACGTGAGTGAGTGAACAGACGCATGAGAACACGCTGGTAAAGTTGAGCCAGGCGGGCGGGGGAGGAGATGGCCCCCACGGCTGCAGCAGTAGGCAGCCCCCACCCCATGTTGGCATGAGGCCTCTGCCCCGGCCCAGGCCTCAGCTCCCACTTCCTCGCTGCCCTCATGCCGGGGGACACTCCACAGAGTGGCTCTGTCGTCTGTCCCCACCCTGCCCACTGACGTTTAGATGCTGTCTCCAGATTCGCACTCATAAATAAAGCTGCGGTGGCTGTCTGTGTGTGCACATCTCTTTCCTCGTGAGAAACAGCGAGTCGGACCCCGTTCAAGGACCCCCGATGTGTACCCATCCCGTCCGCTGAATGGCCCTTTCTGGCCACTTGTTTGTGCAGGCCTCGGTCCAGGAAGAAAGCAGCCAGGCTGTCCCCATCCACGTTTCCTGGTGTCCAAGCAGGGCTTGGGGCAAGTGGCGAGAAACGTGGCTGGCTTGCTCCGAGTGAGGCGGCCACACCTGTCTGTCCAACGTGGCTG